TGTGATTTAGGGAAGGGGGACTGGGGCTGCGGCGTAGAGACAACTCCTACTCCTCGGTTATATGGGGTCGGGTTCTGGGGTGTTCACGACTTTTCATAGTTCGCTAGTGGTGTTAGGGGGCTTTGTTTGGTTGTGTTGGGAGTTTTCTTGGTGTTATGGCGTGGGGAGAATTGGCTTTAGGTGGGTTTCGCGGTTTGAGTTGCGATTCAACTAGGCGGTTTGGCAGTGGAGGGGTCGTCTTTCTCAAGCTGTGGATTCTCCTGGGTTGATTTGGTGGCTGCTTGTTGGGGTTGGAGTTATCCTAGAGGGAGGGCTAGTGTTTTTATTTAGTTGTCTTTTGTGTTGTTTTGTGTGGTAGGTTTGTGTTTTCGGTTTGGGCTTCTTGCCTGAGTATTTATGTTCTGTTTTTTTGGTTTGGGCTGTTGGCCTCAGTCCGAGCGGGAGCAACTTATTATCCTTTGAAGATATGCTCCTGTCTCATTCTCCTGTGGGGAGCCTTTTGTTGTAGTTTTCGTCGTCTGTTTGGTGGTTGTCTTGTGAGTCATCTTTCGATTCCTAGCGTTGCTAGGTCCGGATTCTAGGCGGTCGTCAGACCTGTCCTCTCATTTTACTCAGCTTTGGGTTGTCCTATTCAACTTTGGGTTGTAACTTTGCACATTTGTGCATTTTGTTATATAATATTCTCTATCGTTTCGTTAAAAAAAAAGATATATTCATGCAATTAAAAGGAATTTAAGGGAATATCTTCATTTATTTATTTATATGTATATAATTCAACTAGTACAGATCCCGTGCGATGCACGGGGTGCACAAAATTAAGGCTATTTATCAAATCTTATAATTATATAAATGAATAAAGAAAAATGTACAGGATATATATAGTACGTGACCTGTAATAGGCCAAAATATGAACACGGGTGATGCACGGGGTGCACAATTTTAAGGTTATTTATTAATTCAGAGTCTGTGCGATGCACGGTGTGCACAATTTTCTAGTATGTGTAATACAAATACATACCGTCTGCACAGGACAGAAGCACTAAATGAGTTATTTCCACAGAGCTTGCCCGTTAAGTAGCTCCTGAACACGGGTGCACAATTTATAGTACGTATTATAAAATCAGAACAGATTTTCATACAATTAGATAATAAATTAGAGAATAAATAAAACCTTTTTTTATTTTAGTAAAGATTTTACGTATTTTTTTTTTTACTTATTGGATATTATGAGATTTTTTTTGTTAAACCGATTTTATGGAATATGATACAAATACAATTAGAGGATTGAACAAAATCAGAGCAGATTTCTATACAATTAGATAATAAGAAGGAATTAGATAAAAAAAAAAAAAAAAAAATTAGATAAAGAATTTTGAATCTACCTTTTTTTAGTATAGATAGACTTTACGTACAAATTTTGACTTCAACGATTTTATGAGTTTTGTTTTGACAAAATCAAAGACGAACAATGAAGACTGTTTCTATTAACATTTACAATGTGTATTTAATATTTTTTTTGGCAAAATATTCTTTTTAAGTGTGATATATAAATATTAAAAACACTTAAAATATTTTATAACTTCTATAAAAGCATATAAAATATTATATATTATTCACAAATAATGTTTGAAGCTACCTAAATTTTCGTAAACTACCCGTAAGGAAAATATGTCTAAAAATTCTTCATTTAACCTCCATATATGTATATATATATATATATATATATATATAT